GGTATCTTCAAGGTTTCAGAGTATAAGACAAAAGCATCAAGTTGGGGCAGAGTTGTTCTAACTAGCCAACCTCCTCGAAACATCTTTTCAAAATGCGGTTAAGCACGGTACTCAATCTAGATTTTCCAGACTGAATCTATAATTTAGATTCCAAGGCCTGTCATTTCAAAGAGTTGTTATTCTTGAGCATGTGGATATCAGCTTTCATGAATATATGAGGCCTGTCTACACATTCAATTTTCCAATGACCTTATAAAATCTGTCCAAGAAACGAATGTTCCTTTTATTCATTTAACAATGTGAAAACCCTTTATGAAATATTTTCATTTGGGTGGCATCCCAACTTGTTAGTTCTAATGACTAAATTGAAGACAAAAGACAAAAAGAAGACTTGATTTGGTTATTATTTCTAGCTAATCTGAATGCATGGTCTTGGTAGATAAGATTTTTGAGGCAATCTCATCTCAAGTTTTCAGGCCACAGTGGAGTAAGACTGCCAAATGCATAAGACCTATCAGTGTTTTCTTGACATGTTTTTGAAGAATACTCCCTAACATAATATTCTCCTTGAAGAATTCTCCTCTGCTATATCTGACAATACTAATACCTATCAATTGCATGCCACATTGTGCTTTCTTAAGAATTTCAATTTACTTGAGCCATATACTATCCCTATGAGATATAAATACAATATGTGGAATTCCTACTCCCACTTGACAGATGAGCAAATTAAGTCATAGATGGGACAAATGAATCACTCCAAATTACAGTTCATTCATGGCAGAATCACAGGTACTATAAGTCAGGAGTCTGAGTATTTGGTGTAATAATTATTCCAATCACCAAGAAATCAACTTCAAATATGTTGATGTTAATAGTGAGAGGCTGAGGTAGTAATTAAATCATCACTCCATTAATTTTAAGGATGAATTAAGCTCTATAGTTGATCATTTTCATGGTGGCATACTAAAAGCAAAAATGAGATTAGTTAATAAAATTGAGTCATTCAAGAGATATTTAGTTCAGTGCTTACTATGTGCTAGTTACTGTTCTAGATGCTTAGCATAGATGTATCAGTGAATCAAGCTACAAAACAGGCAAAAATTCCCGACCTCATAGAGCATACATTCTAGCAAAAGGGATAAACATATGCAATTAATATAATGGTAATAAATAAATAATGGTATATATTAAAAATGCTAGGGAAGCACAAAGAAAAAATGAAATGGGCAAAGGGGATCAGGATTGCTTATGGCAGACAGGTTGGAGTTTCATTAGGTTTGTCAGGGTTGACCTCACTGAGAGGTTGAGATCCGTAGATATACCAGGGAAAAGGCTCCACAGAGCATCTCAGCATGTCCAAAAAGTAGGAACGAAGCCAATGTGACTAAAGCAATGTTAGAAAGAGGGAGAGTTGTGTGAGGTGAGGTTAAAGAATGAGTGGGGAGACAAACCTTGCAGGGCCTTACAGGCCCCCACAAGAAATCCAGCTTTTATTCTGAATGAATAGGACACCACTGCAAGGATCTGAGCAGTTGAGGGGCAGGCTCTGACTTAAATTTTTAAAGGGATCTATTATTAATCATTAAATACCTTAAGTTTTTTACTCAATATATTATATAATCTTTGCCATATAAATGAATCACAATGGACTCTCCTCCTCTTAGAATAAAATTCTATTATTCCCAGTTTCCCAAAGAAAATATCAAGGCTCAAAATGCCTACAATAAGAGGTGGTAAGTGAAAGGGCCAGGTGAAAAGAACAATTTTTCTAACTCATAGTTCAAAACTGGTTCCCCTTTTCTATGTACCCGTTTATATTAAAGTTATAAAGGAAAGAAAATAGTATTTGGGATTAACTAGATTGCCCATCAATAGAGATGTTCAGTTTAATATATTAAAATTGAATTAAAGCCATTTTCCCTTATTATTCATTTCTGGGAAATAATGATATAGGTTATTTCCCTGAGCTTTCTATTTGAAATGACATGTGTGCCTTCAGACTAAAAATTTTGGATGCAGAAGTAATCAGATAATAATTTAAACTTGCAACAGTACATTTAAAAAGTTCTTCAGAGTCTTTTAGTTGTCATTTATAAGTCTTATATGTCATTTATAAGACTTCAATATCTTATAGATTGTAATTTATAAACTAACTGCCAGTTACTGTGCTAAATTCATTGCATATATCATATTTAATATTCATCAAAAATTTAAGAATGGCACGAGAAATCCTGTTTCACAGATGACAAATATAGATCCAGAGAGGCTAAGGATTGAAAGGTCACACAACTGCTTAGCCCCAGGGCCAGGATTTTACTAAATCTCCAGTCTAAAGCAAGGTTCGCTTCATTAAGTCACACTGTTCTTCTACAGAGCAATACTCAACATACCACCTCAACACTCCTAACTCAAAAGTCAGCCAGATATGAGTAGTCCCATTTTCTAGACAATTAACTGGTCACAGAAAAGTTAATCAAGCATCAACATTTATTTTATGATCACAATATGCAAATTAATATTTAGTTGCTGAGAAAACAGAGGATTTATTATACAACATCTTGACTCAATGAGCTTTGAATCTTAATAAGGTAACAAGAGAAACATAAAATGGTAATAAGTCACACGTGATAGCACATATGTACCAGGAGACACAGAGTCAATGACTAGTTAAAAAAAATCAAGAGAGAAAATTTATTCTGGGTGCTCCAATTTAGTTAAAATATCTTTACTAAAAAGGACTGGTGTTAAGATGATTTTCATAGGAAAGGTAGGGTTTGGATCACCAGAGGGGGTGAGGAAAAAATGATTCTAGCCAGAGGAGATCATATGACCAAAAAACAAGGGAGTAGATAAGATGCATTATCAAGAGAGAAAATAAATAGATGTGTTTGAAGGGCAGGAAGAATAGGAGGTGGGGTAAAGTGGCAAATGACACCAGAGAAGTAGACTGCAGAAATCCTTGTTAAATTAGCAATCCAAGGGAGGAGGGAAAGAATTGATATCATTGAACTGCCAGTATGTAGCACATGCTTTGTGTACACTTTTTGTTTATATAAACAACTCAACAGCCCGATAAGGTAGAAAGGTAAATATATATAATAGCCACTTTAAATAAAAGGAAACAGAGGTGATATGGCCAAGGCACAACTTTGCGTGTGGATGGAGCAGAATTCCAGTCTAGATATATCTGCCTCCAAGGACTATGTTCCTTCCACTTTCCCTCACCACCGTCTACCAAAGGAAATGGGGAGCCACCAAAGGCACTTGATCAAGAGAAGAGAGTGGCATATAAAAAGGAGTATAAAGCTGAAAGAAGACTGACCTGACTGTGAGATATTAGCTGTGTTCAGTATCAGAGGATTTCGAAAGGAAGAAAATAATGCAAGAAAAGCCACTTAGTGTATTACATTAACCCAATTAACAAAATCTATTTGAATGCAAGCATTGGAAATAAAAAGGATGCAAGATTTTAAAAGGAAATATAAAGAGATCGACAACAATATGTAAGTCCTCAAACAGGTAGTTTCTACTACCCAACCACACACCCAGAGGATAAATATTCCTCCTAAAAATTCACAGACAAGTCTACAGTCTAGCTTGAACATTTTAAAATTTGACAGTAGATGATTTATTTAAAAATAATAAAATCTATGGTTTAGAAAAAAAAAATCTGCCTTAGTGCTACCTATCTCTTAAAGTACCATTGTGAATTACGAGAGCCTTACTTCTTACTTACCAGGCTTACTTCTCTTATACGAGTTTGGCCAATAGTTTATTGCCACATATGTTAACATGGACAGTAATTCTTTATATACATGCTTATTAGGCATACAAATTACTAATCAGATATTCTTTTCCTTTTTATTTTTCCTATTAGAAATTGAGCATATATTAAACAACTGAATTTTTCCTTCAGGATGCAATGTGTCATATACACGTGAACATTATTCCTTTCTGGGATTTAAATATAAGATATTACTCAAGGATTCAAGTAAAAAACTAATCAAATTTAAATGGCATATTATTGAACCAGCCTGGTCTCTTCCGACTTTTTTCTTACCCATGGACAATCCAAACCATACACACAAAATTTATATTTTTAGAGGAATTATTTGCATAAATACTCAGGCATATAGTCAGACTAACACAAATCTTTTCCAGAAACTTAGCATTGCGAAGTCACCAAACCTGGCAATAACCAGGTAAACTATATAAATATTCGATTATTGCCTACTGTTCAACTAATTTGTCTTAAATTAACTGTGAAACTAAACATCTCAATGATTATGAAACATACAAGCTGTAAATGTGGTCATTAAAATTTTAACATATTGGCCAAACCCAATTTCTTTTCCCCTTTTGAATAAAGATATATATAGTTATTTTTCTGAGTAAAAAATTAATGTTTAAATTTGAAATCAAATTGTGCCTCAATCAAAAAATTTAGACCTATATCTAGTGTATATCTGAAATGTCTGAAAATTTCAAGAATAACAAACTTGTACTGTATTTTAGAAATATCTTATGCATGTGTAAAGAAGTATCATTATAGAATTCTAAAAAGTGTATTTGTTAAAACTCAACCACTATATTCTTATACTTTTTATGTTCCTTATTTCTGTATATCTGAACTGATATGAAAATATGATCAAATAAAGTAAATATACTATATAAGTATATCTGCTCAATAATACTAGGCTTTAACATACTCTAAGTGTGAGAAAGTTAACCATTTGAAATAAATTAACTTAAAAACTATTCATGCAGAAACTCTAGGATCCAGATGACTTTAGGCATTCTATGAAAGATATGTTAAATACATTATGTGTGTATAAAAGGAATCACAGATAATGCTTTTTCATATATCTTTCTATTTTCTGTGATTTTATATACACAGTGAAATATTCATACATAAAATATATTAAAATAGGAATATTACCCTTAACTTTTAAAGGTATTATTTTATGAGAGTTTTAAAAAAGGAAAACTATTTTTACCTCCCAGTCCTGGTCTAAGCCGATTATCGTAACCATCCAGAAGTCTGTCAAGAATTCTCGTAAAGATGGTAATGTTATTTTTAGCCTCATCTTCTTGGATGTTAGCCAGCACCAACCTAAACAGATAATTTTAAAAGCTGATATATATACATGTGTGTTTTGCAAATGCCAGAATGCTTTTCTTCCTTAATTTAAATTTTAGCACTCCCTGAGCTATTAGTACCACTCGTTTTCCTCCTTTTAAAATTGCTATAAATACCAATATATCTGCAAAAATAGGTGAATATGAAGTTGAAATAGATTCTAAATAGAATATCAGAAGTTTGGTGTTAACATTATTTGAGATTCTTACCCCTTGAAAATTTTATGTGGACTATTCATTTTCTTTCTAAATCTGTCTACTGGGGCATATTATGATCATAGATTGTCACATGCAAACACTATTAGTATTGCTATACTGCAGCTACAAAAGTCCAATTATCAAACAGACTGCTGAAATAACTGTTTTCAATATGAATTGGAAAATAAATTGCCTTTTTGGAGGTAAATATATTTTCTATTTCTCTCATAAGTGTCTTTCTTTTTCGTATGTCTTTTTCTCTTTTAAATCGGGATTTTTTTCCTTACTTTGGGTATACCTCCACCCAATGGCCAAGTACAATATAGACATCAGGGAAACTCCACTGGCTATGTGCCAGGCAAAATGTAGCCAGGAGGTGGAGGTGGGCTATGAAAGCATCAGCAACACATACACAGCTGCAGAGAGCCTTAGAGCCTAGTTCTTCCTGATTGATTTCTGAGAAGAGCAATAAGGTGCAATGTAAATATTAAAATGCCTAGTTACTTTTTTTAAAATAATAAATTTGTAGAAAGGACAAATGGTCTTAAAATATAACCAGAAAATATTTAGAAAATGTGACTTTCTCCATTATTTCTCCATCATAAAGCCAAACATCTGATTTTGTGACATGCAGCCATTTGTTGCAGAAGCAACTGAATGTATAAAACAGAATGTCCCTTTCCACTGCCATTTTTTTTTCTCAGAATGAATCAGAGATTTAAATTACTGGCCCTGAAAAAGAATCATTTATATAATAGAATAAAATACTGGCATAAGCATTACTGCTCAAATATAGAACAGGAAACTAGTTGAGAGAAATATGTCTAAATACTGAGATTTTTAATGATTATTAATTGATCATGGATTGTCCACTCCTTTAAAATAAAATATTATATGTAATTACATTCTGATCAAGGTGCATTGTATAAAATATTATGGAAAGTGTCAATTTGCATTTAAATAACTACAGAGCTAGTAGCTAAAACTAGTCATGATACATTAAAAACTGGCAACCAACTTCAAAGAAATATTGCCTTAAGAGCAGAGAAAATATTAAAATCTTGAAGATAAACATCTACAAATTAAATAAGTGCATCATTTTATACTCTCTGGCTTCAAAAGTTTCTATATTGCCCACTTAGGCTAATTTTACAACCAGTAACTAAGAAGTTCATAAAGTTCCACATAGAGATTTTCACTTAAAAGTGTTTTCTTAATCATATTTTATATTTTCTTTCTCAAATAAATATGTAGATGTTAAGTTAGTAGATATTTTCCAAATGAAAACAAGTCTTTATAAGATAGATGGCCTCTCAATTCTAAGAAATGTTTTCATACTTTGACCATTGCTTGGACAATAAAATAAAAAGTTAAAAGAGAAATAAATGTGTCATAAAGACATTTGTTTTTTTAAAAATGGGTGGTTACAGGAATATTCTTATAAAATTTATATATTATGTATTCTGGTATTTTGAAAATCATATCCTAAAGGCATTAAAGAAAAGGTGCCCACTGATGATGAAAATCAGGAAAGACTGCAACTAAGATGAAGTTACTGAAAGCAATAGAAATTAATTTCATGTTTTTAGAGGATAGGTGAAAGAAAATTCATTATATATTTTAAATAAGTACTCCTTCTGACTCTAAGCATTTGAGACAAAAAAGATCCTAATAATTTAAAAAGTTTATGATTAATAAATCTAGCTTTTGTTTTATTGTTTGTGATTGTGAAGTTGTATACTACCTCCACCTAGAGGTTTAAGACTCACACATCATTGGAGTTTTCTATGATGACTAAAGGAGCCATACCATTAAAAAAAGAAAAGAAAAAGGGAAAAAATTAAGTTAACACTCAAATCACTTAGCTGGTACTTTTCTGTCAGCTTTGAAGGGAAACTTGGCTTCCTTACTGAATCCTGGTGTTATATTCTAAGTGCCTATACTAATCACTTCAATTCCTTGTAGTAATATATCATTAAAAGGATTTTCTTTTCTTCTGTGAATTTTCTGCATTGAAAATGTTTCTGTTTGCTTTTGGAGCTTATCACTAAGAACAAGAAGCAGTGAAGTTTTTACAGTCTACTACTTCATAGTGCACTTTCCCCATACACCCCCTTTTCTGAGATTCTTTAAAACACTCTAGACTCTCAAAAGCTTTGATGGCGTACAAGAAACACACCTTTACCCTGTATTAACATAGTCAAATACAATAAATGTCTCACCTGGCAGGGTCCCACACCAAGAAAACAAAAAGCAGCAACTGCATGTTGTAGATGTTCAATTTTGTCTTCATCACCGCCGCTCTTTACAAAGCCATGGAAGGAAAAACAAATACACTTAAAATTGCCTTCAGTTCCACTATCGAAGTAACCCCCCAAAATATCCCTTTAGTTAGGGATTCAAGTTCAAGCTATGGAGATTACTTCCTGGATTGTGTGTAGGATTTGATAATTGGGAGGAGATTTTTTCTCCCCCCCCCCCACACACACATCCCACCTTTTTTCTTTCTTTTCTTTTCTTTCTTTTTTCTTTTCTTTTTTTTTAAACAGCAAGATGACCAAGTAATCAGACTTCTTTCTGCCAGGAACGTCCCCCAGCCTCATCGTCAGCAAACACTGTTTTGCGCACACATGTAATAATAACACCCTGGACTTCAAACTGACATATGAGCTGGAAAGGGAACGGGTTGGAGGGGAGAGTAGGAAAGGAGAGGAGGGATGGGTACTTCACACCACAGCCCCCTCAACCAAGACCACCTCCGCAACCACAGCGGGAAAAGCTAGGGGCAGGCAGCCCACTTTTGCAATTATTCTTTTCATTACAGTGAACTGCGGTCCTCACGTCTCCGTTTCTTCACTCCTCTTAACGAAATAAAATAATCTCCCTCCCTGCCCACCCACGGTTGCCCAAGACCATGTCTTGGAGGCAGCCGGGTTCGGATCAAGTGCTGCGAAACGATGCGTTTGACAGCTGCTCGGGAGCCGACGATCACAATAAGAGAAGGAGCGTGAGGCTCGGGCAGCAAACACCAGGCAGGCAGGCAGACAGCGGTAACCTCGGCGTGCAAAGTTGACTCGAAAAGAGCCAGGCTAGCGTGCTGCCTGCCGGGCGGGCGTCCTGGATGTTATTGTAGTCGCAAATAGGCTTCTGGGGATAAGTATCGAAATTATGTTTTAACTGCGCTGGGGAGGAGAACTGTGGGGGAATTGAGCCTCCCCCGTTTCCAGGGAGCCTCTGAAAGTGGGGTGGGGGGAAATGAGGATTGCACGCGAGGCACAGGCGAGAAAGGGTCCCTATCGGGACCAAGGTGTGCGACCCTACCTGAAACGGCGAGCAGAATTCGGTGTGCTCTTCCTTTTGCCCTGATCTTGACGAGATAGGAAACTTAGAGAGACTGACTGAGACTGCAGCAGCCGAGCGAGCGCGGAGCGATGGGCTGGTGGAAGCCAGAGCGCAGCGCGAGGAGCGGCGGCGGTGCGAGGTGTAGGAGACGAAGGCGTTCGTAGTGGCGGTGATGGGCGGAGGAGGAGGAAGAGGAGGAGGGGGAAAACGATGGCAGGAGCTGGGGCGGGGGGGAAATTGGGGGGACGCGGGCGGAGGCGCGGTGCGCGCCGGCGGTGGCGGGCACGAGCCCCGCGCCTGGAGGAGGAGGAGTCAGACCGGGTAGGAGGGCTAAGGAGGTTCCCGGGGACCCCCGCACACACTCTCCCCCGCCCAGATCCTTGGTAACTGACCGTCGCCCGCCTGGCACTAGCAGCGGCGCAGACCCGGGCGGCGTCGGGCTCCTGGGTGCGCTCCGAGCGCCGCTCCCCTCGCCCACGCCGCGCCGGAGGAGCGGAGCCCACGCGCCGCCCCGGGTTGCTCCCCGAGGCTGCTTGCTGGGGCTCCCGAGAGGCCCCAAGGTTCCTGGGGAAGCTGCCGGTGGGTGTTGATGTGAAGTCGGGAATGCAGCGTGGCTGTGACGCCCTAGATCCCTGGGGCCGCGCCCAGCCGCCCGTCCCCCAACATCACCCTGCTGTGGAGCGACGTGGCTGCTAAGAGGTAAAGAGGTACCGCTCCCGCTGGAGGGCGAGGGACTAATCACGCCTTCACTTAGTCATCAGCGCATCCACGCAGGACCAAGTTCAAAGCATGTTGCGTGGAATTAGCAGGAAGTTTCTTTGATTTCCTGAACCCTCCTGATACACCATTCATTCCTTCACACTCCTGCAATCAAGACCGATTTCCCCTCAAACCTCTGAGGGCTGGAGACTTCCCTTGAGCCAGTCAGTAAAGTCCATTTGCAGATTACACACACATCTTGGGAAACCTCCCGCTCACTTCCAGCAATCCTTTTTCTAACCTCTTTTCACAGGCGCCCTCCCTAGCAGGTGATCAAACTCAATCAACAGCTCCAGAAAGTTTACATTACCCCGTAGCAAATAAGGACCTGCTGTGCTTCTACTATCTCTGCAACTCCTTTTCCAGGGGGAGGAAAGGAAACAAGGTTTGAGGTTTTCCCCCTTTAGGGCTTTTTGCTGGCAAAGGGACTTGGAATTCCAGGCCAATCTTACACTTTCAGCATTGTGTGTTTGATCTGTCTCATTTCTGTTCTATTTTATCTGAGGCGATAAAATCCAAACGTGCAACTGAACAAAAAAATAAAAGAGAGACATTTTCCTTTTTGTACTGCACATGAAACAGAATGTTATGCACATTCTACTAAGGCAAAGCAGAGCCAGTGTTTATCTCTTCCAGAAGTTGTTATAAACGTTAGACACTTTAAAGGAAAAAGAGAGAGATAAGTATGCTGATATGTTTCTGTCATTTTACATTCAGAGTCAATATGTGCCAAACACTTCAATTTTGTTAGTTATGCACCAAAAATTCAGATGTTTTTCCTAGATGGTGCAGTTTTTCTAACAGGCACTGCTAATCTACAGTAAATTTTAGCTTTGCTTTGAAAATTATGGGAAGAGAGTAAAACCTTTACATTGTAAATATTTCCAGCTGTCCTTTTTAACCTATTAATTGCCATTTTCTGGATGAGCATTTAATATGCTACAACCTAAACAAACATTTGCTGTCTTATTCAGCTTGCTCTGTGAAGAATGGAACACCACCCAGCTCTCTCCTCCATCATTAATATTCTTTTCCTGACTTGCCCATTGCAGAGTCTAATTGAAATTCACCAAGATAAAAAGCATGCCATTTAAAAGCTTGCAACCAGAGAACCTAAGTGTCTTGGCATGAACAGTTCACTTCCTACTGTATTTTCCTATTTTCCATTTCTATGAGTTAATCTTCATTAAGATCTCTATCGCCTCTCCATTTGTGTTACTACTATAATTGTTGATATTTTGATAATGGAAGCTGAGCAGTACATGGTTTCTTTCCATAATTGCTATGCTCCAACAACATTTTTCTTTAATGAATGTCAAATTTTTGTAAATATATTTACATGTTATTCTCATATTTACATGGTCTTCTCCTGGATTCTGATATCAAATTCTAAATGTTAGTTTTAATTTTTTCATTCAACATTTATATCAATGGGAATAATTTGTTTTGAGGAATTAGCTTTTCCCATTAGCACCCTCATTAAATGTGTAATTTAAATGACATATGACCCTCTTATATGACACTTCACAAAGTTCAAACTGCTTTGGATGATTTTCACCATTTCAGTTTTTTCTTTAAGTGTATATTAGTACATCCCACAGATTTAGGGATGCATTTACAGGAAAAAGACCCACCGTAAAAACTCAATTTAAAATGTTTATTATAAAACCTTGCTTTTAGTTCTCCCAAAATGTCTTACAATTTTAAATGTTGGATAGCTGTGACTTAAACTTCAAAGCACATTAAAAGAAATCGAACTAGAAAAGTTGATTGTGGGCAGCAGATTTCTACCATATAGGCATATCTATACTGTTATTTTCCTGTATTACTAGCCCAGACAAAATTCTCTGGAAGTTTGAGGATTGTCCAGCTTCCTCAAATATCTGACAAACTCAGCCAGATTTTTCTTCTCTGCTCTTTGTGAGAGAGTGCAGGTTAACTGTCTGAGATCTGAGCCAGCCTGTGTGGGTCGTGACTAAGGTCTTCCTACCCACTCCTTTTGGAGCATGACTTAAGGCAACCAATCCTGAGGAAGAATTGACAACTAATTGGTTGCCAGTAAATCCATTTCTACCCAGTCTTGGGGAGCACAAAACCTTCTGTTTGGAGCCTGTTCGAATTACTGACCAACAAATTACTTTGGTGGGGTGGTCACTTGTTATATATTCCCCAGCCCCAACACTAAAATCCCTAGCAAAATTTCCACATAAAGACCAAGAATAAAAAAACAGCTGAAGAATTGTAAGATACTGGTTTTGTCTGATTTCTTATTAACTGATGTCTCACAATATTGTAACATTTTAAGATTTGTTATAAAAACTGTTCATATTCTTGAACAGATATTTTGCACAGCTTTCATTTTTAGGACCCAACCTAGCATTACTGCTATACAAATCTACTACTTTATATGCCCTAGGGGACTGTATTAATCTTAAGCTTTCGATAGAATGATACACGTATGTAAATATATATTACATCTCTATTTATTGTACACTTTTATGCATACATACATATATACAGATATGCTGATATAGCTGTAGATAAATGTATATCTGAACTAATAAAAATAGGCATGAGGATTTTAATAAGAATAGCATTTAAATATCACAATTCTACAAAATACATTTAATCTTACTACTGCATCAGTTGGATCATGATGGTTTTTACATGCTTTGAAGAGCAATATTATAATTACTTCAATAAGAATAGCCTCTCACTATATTTAACTTTTTAAACTCTCAGTACATATTTTATATATTTATATATATTTTAACTACATACACTCCTATGTGATTCATTCATTTGAATGAGAATGAAAATTTATGAAAAATTAGAAACTGAACCACTGATTATTCTGTTTTCAAACAATTAAATATTATCTCCTACTTTTCCCATTGAACGATTTACTGATTTCAAAATGGACCTGGAGTATAAGTCAGTTCTCAAACATTCACCACATTACCAAAAGACAAAACAAAAAAACAAAACTGGTGCAAATTTTTAGTTGACAATTATCAAGTCAAAACCAGGACGTGGTCAAGCTCTACTTTCCCATATATTGCATTTAGGTGGAGAGTTAGGCCCCAAGATTCTGAAAGAAGAAACAGCTGTAAAGTGACAATATCTAGTTTCACAAACAAATAATTCTAAAACTATTCTTTTCTATTAGTGGATCCAGGTCACATTTCATTAGAGCTAAGTATATCATGTGTATTAGCTTGAACAAACTATGCACATTAACTTCAAATATAATTAGTAACTGTTTGTAAAATAATTTTACAAATTATCATCCAACTTGCAAATAGAACATATCAAGTATTCAGGATATCCTGGTGGTTTCTGAGATTTTAGAAAATATTTACATCATGACACACATAAAAATTATTTGTAAGAAAATTATTTTGCCTTCCTTTTGTAAAATTATAGGTAAAATTTATTTTTAGGTTAATGAATTGCTTCCTAAAACAAAGATAAAACTCTGGCAATTCAAACCAAAAATTCCCTGATTGAAAACTATGCATGTTAATGAAGTAGAAGCGGCTACATGATCAGCAGCTTTGCCTGTGAGATATGTCCTTTAAATAATATTCATACTAATGACAATAATGAAAGGAAACCTGTAACGTCTTCATTGGTATAACAGCTTAGATCCCATTCTAAATGCTTTGTATTAACAAATTTAATCTTCAAAAGTAAGAAGTTATTATTATTTCTATTTCAATGTTAAGAAAGTTTAGACACAGAAACGTTAAGCTGACTCAAGTTCTCACAGTGGTGACGGAAAGGGTAGAGCCCTGACAATATGGTTCCAGAGTTTCCGTAACTACTATACTATTTGTAACAACACCTCATCATATGCAATTATTCAACAACAATAATAACAGCAAGGAAATCAGAAAACAGAGGGAGTCCAGCACCTAATTTGAACCCATTTGTAAACACCTCAGGTGGGATAAGATTTGTACAACTGAAGGATTATTCCAATATCATTATTTATAGCATCAAAACTCTTGCATCTTGAGAGGAAAAGAGAGAACATATAGTGAAAAAATAAATGAAAAATATAATCAGGCTGTGGACATTTTATGGTCCGTCAGAGCGACATGAAAGAGAAAATAGAAACCAATTATTTCTAAGAAAAAGTGAATAATGCTATAGCAAATTAATTATAGATCATTTCTCTTTGGTAGGGACTTTTTGTATCTGAGAGAGTGGCTTTCTCATAGATGCCCAATAAATAATTGCTGATCTTTGTAAAGTTAAGCACTTTGGACTAAAAATTGAGAGCCTTAGTTACAGAGTTAATAATGGCCTGACCTTGGACAGTCTTAGCTATGACATATGCTGTTAACTCTTAAAGCTCTGTCTCTAACTGTACATTACTGACTATCAGTGCTTAGATACCTTTTTTCCTCAAAGGGTATCTCTTCTGGTGTTCTCTATCTTATCACCTTTCCTCTACCAAAATCCTGAAAACTGGAAGATGTTCATTCTGGACTCTCTCAACACCCTGCCAGTACCATACACACACACAGACACACACACACATACACACACACACACACACACACACACATTTACTATTGCTAAGAAAGTACTGCCTATCTATCCATTATCTGAACCATTATATTCATTACCAATTCCATAGCCTTACGTCTAACCTTACTTGGACTACTGCAATACTAATAAACAGTAACCTACTAATTAGTTTCTCTGACTCTGATCTCTATTCTCTCCAATATATCTTCCATTGGAGCAACAAAAACATTTCTTAAACTGATTTTGATAGTGCCATTCAGTCATCCAAAATGTTTTCTTGAGAATAGTATAAGGTCCAA